TATCCCTTGCTGCTACAAAATATTGCTTGATTCTCCTATGTCATCTAGATTTGGTTTCTTCAATGCACTTTTATCTGGCTTTATGGCTTTTCAGGTTCAACCAGTTTCCAGGCCTGAAGCTACTTTTTAAAAAATGTTTCCTCCCCCCCCCCCGCCCCCTTGCTTAACAGTCAATCCTACATAATGGAACTAATGTACATTAAAATTACAGGAATGGAGATTTCTTCTCAACATTAGGAAGAACTTCCTGACTGTAAGAGCTGTTCAACAGTGGGATTCTCTGCCTCAGAGTGTAGTGGAAGCTCCTTCCTTGGAAGTTTTTAAACAGAGGCTGGATGGCTATCTTTCAGGGGTGCTTTGATTGTGCTTTTCCTGCATGGCAGGAGGTTGAAATGGATGGCCCATGTGTGGTCTCAATTCTATTATTCTATGCATCTAAATATTTTCTGTTAGCTGATATGTCTCCATGGTCACACTATTCGCTTATTTCTTACTCCTTTCATGTTGGGGAGGAGAGACCCATAGTTCTTGTTATTAAAAGTATTTTTTAAAAAGACAAGCATAGATAATAATGCATTTGAAAAAACAGTAGCAACACCCAAAAAGCTATGGAGAAAATATCTAAACAATATACAGATTCATTTGTATCTTAGAACAAAATGTCATATCCTGCCTCTCCAACTGTCCAAAGATAGATTAGAAATTTCTTCCCAATGTTCAGATGTGTCTAAATATGATGTTTTGCACACACACACACACACACACACACACACATTTAGTGATGCACCCAAGAATTTTCATTGGTGAATAATGAAAAGAGTCTTGAAAAGTGTGTTTACCCTTATAGGTAAAAAAACAAACTTTGATATTAGCATTCAACATGAATCTGATCAGATGTCTGAATTGAATCACAAGATATAGCCAGGTTCAGAATCATCCAAACTCAATTTGTAGTGATCTTACAGAGTTTTGATTTCTGAACAATTAATTCATTGTAAATAAAGCCCACAATCATTTTGTGTCAATAAGACAAACTTTTCAAGATAAAAGAAATGGTAAAGTTTGCAGTCAAAAATGTAAAACCGACATATTTTCTACTGCCATCTAACCTAATCACGAGAGATTATGTTTGTCACATTTTTATTGTTTATTTCAATTGGTTTAATTAATTGACATTCATTTTGAATTGTGTGGATAACTGACAAGTAATCTGGATGCCTTATCAATCTAGAATTAATTATAATAATAGTATAATAGTAGTTTTCAGTTCACACATTCACACTTTCAACAGACATATCCAGTACACATATGCTACTAGAATAATTGACTTGCATTTATTTATGATGGATTCTTACACCTATTCAAAAGTATGTAAAATGAACAAAGCTCAAGGAATTTCAAGAAAAGGATTTGGAGCCATAATGGCAACATCTTCTGCATGTAAGGTGAACAAAATTCTTTGCTATTGATATCAATGACCATCAAGTACAGATGTTGCTGAGGTTCAACTACTCTAGGACCAAGTTGTGATATCACAATGCCCCAAAATGATGGGATGTGGGAATCTCAGAATAAGGGGCAGGTGCTGCATTCCTACTACACAATGTAATCACACATGTCTTATCAGCAATAAGACCAACTACGTTCAAAGGGACATTGCTGTTGTGTGTCTCCCAGTCCTTTCTGACCTATGATGTCCCTAAGGCCACTTCAGCATGCTGGCTCTCTCAAAGGGACAAAACAAACAAGAGGTATAAATTGCAATGCAATCATCCCTCTTTTAGCTGGTATGTCAATGAGATATACTCATAGCTATAAGAGAATTGATTGCATTGCAATTTAGATCTTTTATTCTTTTTTATTCCCAGTGCAGTGATTCCCAAACTGTAGTTCTCCAGATGTTTTGGACATCTATTCCACAAAGTCTCAGCTACTTTGGCCAATGATCAGAGATTCTGAAAGCTGAAGTCTCAAATACTTAGAAGATCAGAGTTTGGGAAACGCTGCCCTACAAGCACTTTATTCCTTTTCATGCCCCCAAATTTTATCTTTTATTTCTTGTTCCTTTTTTTATTACTCTTTAATCCATTATGACATTTCTGCTGTAGTAGCAGTGGAAGTGGACAATTCTTCCTCTCCTTGCTGCCTATGGTTACCTGAGATAGCCCAAATACAGAAGAGGAGAGCTTCTTCCTTCCATTGGATTCTGCTATTTTGCTAACGGAGGTCCAGAGTTGGATTCTTACCAAAACCTCTGAAATGCCATGTCTCTTAACATTAGAACAACCTTTCATTTTTAAATGGATTTTGGACAATACATTCATTACTCTCTGGCCTTTACCCATTAGTTCATTCTCTTCCAATTCCCTTCCTCTTGTGTTCCTTCTCTTTCCCCATTTTTCTTTGGAGATGAGAATGTCAGTCTGCAGACATGGTCTATTTAATTTTGTACAACACTTTGTTTTGAAAGCACTATAAAAACACCACTGTTATTACAGAGAATAAAAGACTGCAAGAAAAGTTCATGGCTAAATGCATAGGGCTGTATCCTAAAAATTCCTACCAGGGATTCTAAATTTTTGATAAGAATTCCAATGACTAGTTTTACCATTTACTGAGCATCATGGACAATGATTCCATACAATATCAGTGCTGGAATCAATTACAGATTAATAGCTGCCCAAATAGCAGAGATTTAATGCAGCTGAAGTACCAAAGGATTGCCTTGCTGGATGAGATCAAGGGTTATATAGTCAATATTCTTACTAGGTTTAGATTATCTTTTCTCCTTCCCCATCTTCAGAATTGTATTCATGACTTTTCCCATTTATAGCTAAACAAATCGGAATTCAGAGAGAGGATCTGGTCATAGAGTATGAATAAAGGAATGAAGGTAAATAATTAGTTGCAAACCCCATTCCATCTATACTGATCATTTTGTGCAGTTCGAAGTTAGCGTCAAACTGCAGCAGTTAGACAAATAATTCCCACAAAACTATGTGAAAGAAAGCCCTTAATGCACATCAATATTCTGTGGTTTGTGAAATCACCATCCAGGCCTCAAACTGGTACCAGGATTTTCTACGTAATCATCAGCACAGAAAAACTATTTTCAATAACAGTTTGACAATGCATTAAATGTTCAATGTAGTGGTGGCAATAGGGGTGTCATCCTCCCATCATATTTAAGAGCCAGACATAAGCAAATAATGCTGAAGGATAGATCACTCTAAGCAATTAGGACTGTTTTAAAGTTTTGAAAAATTATGGTTTTGGAGTACAAGTCTGAAATTCCTCCGTTAGCATGGTCACTCATGTCATTTTGACATTGGAAGCTGTCATCTAAACGTAACTTGGTGTGGGCTGTTTATGTCAGTCTGGAGGAAAGGCCAAGAAATAATGGACTCAAATCCATTTGATGCTTGAAGATGTTTTTATGGTTAAATGTAAGATAAAACCACAATTTAATTGTCTGGGAATACTGAATGATCATTCAGAAAGAACAAAAGGAAGAATGATATAATAATAATAATAATAATAATCATCATCATCATCATCATCATCTTTAATCCAGGGAGCGGGGTGAACTCACGCTGTTAGGCCCAGCTTCTGCCATCCTAGCAGTTCAAAAACATGCAAATGTGAGTAGATCAATAAGTACTGCCTTGGCGGGAAGGTAATCTCTCCCCCCCCCCCCCCCCCCGAGTCAGACACAACTAGACAATATCAGGGGAAACCTTTACCTTTATTTATATCCTGCTCCCTCTCCACAAGGACTTGGGAATCAAGACACAATGCATACATAAGCAAAAACCAAAAAGGCAAGACATAATATATAACCAATAATCATAAATGTAACTTTAAAATACAATGTCATAATAAATAAATACATAGGTCAAAAATTGTACTGGGTTTAAAAATATTGAACTGCAGAGGCAAAACCCTTAAAAACCAATAGGTATTACCAAGGCTAAAAGATAACCATCATAATGAAGCAGTCAACCATTTTTGAAAACCTTCCACATGGAGGTTTTTAGTTCTTTCCTAATGTTAGCTAGAGAGGGTTCCTATCTTATTTCTTACAGAGAGCATTCCAAAGCTGGGGGGCCACCACCAAGAAGGTCCTTTCTCTTGTTCCCACCAGCCGGGGTTGTGAAGGTGGTGGGACTGTGAGAACCATCCTCTATCCCAGAGGACCTTAAGGCCCAAGTTGGCTCATAGGGGGAGATGCAGTCATGCAAATAGGTTGGATGAGAACCATAAACAATATATGATAACTGTTGCCAAAACAGTATATGCTCAGAAATAGAAGGAACCAATTATCCCAATGCAAGAAGAACAGCTAATAAAGATGTGTGAATTACCCAAGACGGATAAATTGACTACAATGATTGAGGAGTAATCTTTAACTAACTTAAAGACAGACTGAGGTCTGTTCATCGCCTTTTCTCAACAATGATAGTTCAGTACTGATCAAGTTCTACCTAACCCTCTTCTTTTAGTAAGATCTCCAGCACTTTATTCCCAGCCTCCGTCCAATAGCCTGCATTTGCACTAGCCCTTGTTGTGCCCTGTTAGCCCCAAATCTGCACATTCCCACTTTCCCCAAATATTGGTTGGTTGTTGCTTGGTTTATGTTTTATATTTATTGCTTTTACTGTTTTATTTAGATGTTTTCTGTATGTTTTTAACCATGGACTTTGTAGTCTTGTTTATATTGGGCTTGGTTGTCATGTAAGCTGCCTCAAGTCCCTTTGGAGAGATGGAGGCGGAATATAAGAATAAAATTGTTGTTGTTGCTGCTGTTTTGTTGTTGTTATTATTACTGGTCAATTAGCAACTGTAGGATTCATGTATCAGTAAAAGAATCTGGAAAAGGCACATATTTAACATCATACTGTCCTATAGAAGTGTATTCTCTGAGCTGAAGCACATATATAAAATGAATGTGGAGGAAAACCAATATTAATACAACAACATCCACAACACAGCTGTCTTACCTATCAATGCTTCAAAGCAGTTGGCCATTGCGTGGCGAAGATCTGATTCTCGGCAAAGATCAGGCCCATGAGCATAAAGCATAAACCGATCCAATTCCAGCTTCTATAAAACACCAAGACAGTTTTGTAAAATGAAGTCTGCCTCACATAAAAGGCCCTCTACATTATAGAAAAATACTAACTTTACTACTAAGAACCTCTACATATTTGGGCAGCTATCAACCTCTTCCACACTGAAGGTCAAACTGGAAAAAGCTGAAGAGCAGCAGCCAATTGATCTATTTACTTGCACATAATTATTATAATTTGCATGACATTTTGATGAATGTAGTGGGCGCTAAAGTACAGTTGATATTAATCCCACAGTACTCAAATGCTGAAAATGTTATTCTCGAGGGGTCAGATTAAACGTCTTTAAAATATCTAAGACATGGGATACAAAAATCATCCGTTGAAATATAATCCATATCAAGTGTATTTTAAACTTGCCCTTTTCAATCCTGTAATGCTAATCCTCTCTGTGTGTGGGAAATTAGGATTTCATTGGCCTCAAAGTCCATCTTGCCTTCATACACTCTTACAACCCATGCTTTGAATGCAATATACAAAGAGTGATTCCATATGTGTGTGTCTAACATTTGTAGGTTTCATCTTCAAGACTGCTCACAGATATTCCGATTTTGATAAGTAAAGACTGAGCAGACTAAACCTAGAGAAATATATTTGAATAACAACATGCCAATAAGGGGAAAGTAAAATGTGAACTGAAGTGACCTTGGTTTGTCAACTGGTATTGGCCATGTATATTGGCAAAGAATGTTAGAACACTATGTCGAACTTAACATTTTCTCTCATTTCTTAGAATGGAGGCCAAGCATCTATCCCCGGTTTTTGGTTTTTTCCTGTTTTTCTCTTATGGACCATTTGAACAGGCAAGTGTAATACTTGACAAGAGACTAGCTAAATGTCTGTCGACTGTAGGTCAAGACACACTTTCAGGATACACATACATACAGGGAATGAGAGCGAGAAGATTGACAGAGGACAGATAGAGAAAAAGAGGAAGGGGGGGTTGCTTCTACCAACTACACATTTTGGCCATAAAAAGCATGTTCATTCAACTGTTTTCAAGTTCAATCTGACATTCCTTTTTAAGCAACTACATTTGCTGTTAAATTTGCATTGACAGAATAAATTACTAATGCAATTTAAATCAGAATCATATAATAAGAGAGTTAGAAGAGACTACATGGGCAGTCTAATCCAACCCCTAGCCATGCAGGAAAAGCACAATCAAAGCACTCCATACAGATGGCCATGCAGCCACTGTTTAAATGCTTCAAAGGAAGGAGCTTCCACAACACTCTGAGGTAGAGAGTTCCACTGCTGAAAAGCTCTTACAGTCAGGAAGTTCTTCCTAATGTTCAGGTGGAATCTCCTTTCCTGCAATTTGACCCATTGCTCCGAGTCTGAGTCTCCAGGGCAGGAGAAAACAAGTCTGCTCCCTCTTTTCTTATGACATTCTTTCACATATTTAATGTAATGATCATGTCTTCTCTCAGCCTTCTCTTCTGCGGGCTAAACACCCTCAGCTGTTTAAGCAGCTCCTCAGAGGGGATGGTTCCAGACCTTTGAACACTTTAGTTGCCCTCCTCTAGACACTTTCCAGATTGTCAATATCTCTCTTAAATTATGTGGCCCAGAATTGGACACAGTATTCCAAAGCAGAATAGAGAGGCACCATGACTGCCCTTTATCTAGATCAGGGGTCCTCAAACTAGGGCCCGAGGGCCGGATACGGCCCTCCAAGGCCATTTACCCGGCCCTCACTCAGGGTCAACCTAAGTCTGAAATGACTTTAAATCACACAACAACAACAATCCTATCCCATCAGCCAAAGGCAGGCCCACACTTCCCATTGAAACACTAATAAGTTTATATTTGTTAAAATTGTTCTTCACTTTAATCATTGTATTGCAGTGTGATCCATTTGCTTAAAAAGCAAAATCCTATTGCTTTTTAAGCAAATGGATCACACTGTTGTCTCATGTTCAACTTGTTGTCCACTAAGACTCCAAGATCTCTTTCACATGCACTGTTGTCGAGCCATTCTGTACTGTGCATTTCATTTTTTCTGCCTAAGTGTAGTATTGTGCATTTGCCCTTATTGACATTTATTTTGCTAGTTTTGACCCAGCTCTCTAATCCACTGAGGTCATTTTGATCCAGAAGTCAGAATTCTGATTCTGACTTCTGGAGTATTAGTTACCCCTCCCAATTTGGTGTCATGTGCAAACTTGATAAGCAAATCATTAATAAAGATGTTGAATAGCGTTAGGCTCAGGACCAAACCCTGCGGCACTACACTAGTCACTTCTTTCTAGGATGAAGAGGAACTATTGGAGAGCACCCTTTGGGTCTGGTTGCTCATCCAATTACAAATCCACCTAACAGTAGTATTGTTTAGCCCACATTTTATTAGTTTGTTTGAAAGGTCATGGCGACCTTGTCAAAGGCCTTACTGAAATCAAGGTGTGCTACATCTACAGTATTCCCGTTATCTACCAAGCTTACAAAACTATCAAAAAAGAGAGATTAGTCTGGCATGACTTATTTTTGAGGAATCCATGTTGACTTTTAGTAATTACAGCATTCCTTTCTAAGTGATTAAAGACTGTCTCCTTAATGACATGACCCAGAATCTTTCTTGAGATTGATGTCAGGTTGAGTGGATGGTAATTGTTTGGGTTCTCTTTTCTTTCCCTTGTTGAAGATTGGGACAACATTTGCCCTCTTCTAGTCTGCTGAGACTTCTTCTGTTCTTCAAGAATTCCGAAAGATTATTGCTAGTGGTTCTGAAATGCCTTCCGTTAGTTCCTTCAATACTCTTGGATGTAGTTCATCTGACCCTGGAGATTTACATTCATTTAGAGTAGCCAGGTATTCCTGGACTACTTCTTTACCTATTTTGGGTTGTATTTCCCTTATTACCCCATCTGCTCCATCTTGCTCAGGTTGAACATGAATCTCCTTTTGGGAGATGACTGAGGCAAAGAAGGTGTTGAGCAGTTTTGCCTTTCCCCTATCCTATTAGTATTTCACCACCTTTTCCACGCAGAGGCTTTGCCGTTTCCTTGTTCTTCCTTTTTCTACTGACATGATCAAAGAACCCCTTTTGTTGTTTTTCATATCATTGGCAAACTTGAGCTTATTTTGCACTTTAGCTTTTCAAACCTTTTCTCTACATGTGTTGGTTGGTTATTTGTTTGAATTCCTCTTGGGGGATTTTCCCCTTTTTCCATTTCTTATATATGTTCCTTTTAAAGCTTAGCTCAGTTCAAAGTTATTTGGGCCTCCATTCCGGTTTCTTAGACCTTTCTTATTTTGTTCTCCTTGTTAGCACTGTTTGCATTTGTGCATTCAGTATTTCACTTTTAAGAAACTCCAATCCATGTTTAATTACCTTTTCTTTTAGCACTCATTTTTTTAAAGAAAAAAAAATTAAATGATTTTTTATTACACAGAAAATATAAAGATATTAGGGTAGACATGGGGGGGGGGTCAAAGGAAGGAAATTTGGAAGGGATAAGGGAGTGAGGAAATGAGGTAGGAAAGAAGGAGAGTGGGAAATGAGGGAGAGGTAGGGGGTAGGTAAGGTGATCTATTGACTTCCATTCTTCTTCCTTCCGTTTACATCTCCCTTCTTTATATAGTAAATTCTTAACAACTCTATTGTCCCACTTTCCCCTTTCTATCAATGTCTATTTTACAGCTTATTTAACTATCTTCCATTTCGTGCTTTAGATATTCTTCAAAACTCTCATTCCTATCCACAGAATCATATTCACTATTTCCCTAAACTTCCTGAAGTCAGATATCCTAAGAGCTATAACGTATGTTTGACTTCTGTTATTTTCTTCTGCATCACAAACTCCAGGAGTGCATGATCACTCCCACCTAAATATCCCACATGTCCACTTCATTTACCAGGTCATGAGTATTGGTTAGGATCAGATCTAGAATAGCTGATCCCCTTGATCCCCTTTAGTGAAAAGTAAGAGGAGGCTCATCTCTGAGAAAAGTTTGTAGAAAAAGAATGCATGCTATTAGATTAGCACAGGCATAAAGTTAAATATATGCAAAACCCTTTACAATAAGGGTGGAAAAGGAGTGGCCTGCAGTTTATAAATTGTGTAGTCTTTTCTTGTTTGGACCCCCCAAAGCACTACTCTGCAAATTGGAAACTATTGGTTGTTCTAACTCTGCTGTTCCTAGAACTTAGTATGGTTTGCTACCACCATCATATCACCATAGGTTATATCGGTGATACTTTGATAAGCATACTGGATGTGTATCCCACTTTTAGAGCAATGAGGAAATCTGCTTTGTACTACTGACTATTTTCTCTGAAATACAGATATTTTGGAACCATGGACACTCTAGGAAAGAAGTAAAATGATTCAAGAGAAAGGAAAGGTCAGGATCTCTTCAAATTGCAGAACCTGAGAATACACACACATGCAACATTCTGGGAGCTGCAGTGTAAAACAGTAACTCTTCTGGCTAACTCCTGATTTGCAAATACTTGTTCATAGTCAGGCACATATTTCTCAGAAGCAGGGAAAAGGGAGAAAACTGATATGTAGGGGGTAAGCAGGGAGTAAATTTAGTTAAAGAATGTATATTTGTTTTGCCCAAGAATAAGAAGTAGAAGGGAACGGAAGGATAAGAAAAATGGGAAAATAAGCAAAATTTAAACACCAGCCTACTGCTTCCATAAATAGGTCCTAATGATTTTATTTTCCTCCACACAAACAACACACAGCAAATTCAAATGTATGCCTTGAAGTGCAGGAGAGAAAGGCTGGTATAGATAACGCCACAGCTCCACCTAGCTTCTCCTTTGCTTCCAAACGTAGGCAATTCACATCAGATTATTTGCTAATCGCCTTCAAGCTTCAAATCAGAGGCATTATGTAATGCGTGCTAGTTCCGGTGTACATAATGCATTCCAAAGTTATTAAACTTTCCCCTTCCATATATTCATTCTATTTCAGAAAGGCAGTGAAGACTTTTTGAAGTCGAGAAGGAAGATAAGTGAGG